CCCCCCCCCCCAATAGCTAGCAATCCAAAACAGTCCGGTGGAGCTTGAGCAATGGTTATTGCCTTCTGACACACTTCCGGTGATGTCAGGGGGTGTGGCATATGCAAATAAGTTATGCTAATGAGTTATGCTAATGAGCTCCTGCGCCCCTTTTTCTACGGAATGACCCCTGAACCCACCGATTTGCCTTTTTGATGGTCCACAGTATCAAGTCTATTGCAATTAGACTGGGCTTACTCTGCAAAGATATGTATTGTCAGTTTACTTTTTTCTGTCTTCTAATTTGGAGTCAAAATGCTCACATTGCAGAAGGCAAGTTTTCCAGTTTCACAGAATTCTTGCCCAGTCTGGATGTTTAAGCCTGTAGAAGAGTTTTGTACAACTCAAAAAGTCACCCAATTTGTTAATGGTTTATGAACACACACACTTATCATACCTTAATAGCATCACAAGATGGTGTGGGGTTTTTTTGGGGGGGGGGTTGTTTGTATCAGAAAATAGTGAAGGTACCCTCTCCGGATCCCAAAGAGTTCAAACTTTATTCATTGATAAACCTCTAGATTCAAACACCTGGCCAGCCAGGAATTTCAGTGGGTATCTTGAGCAAGTCACCATCTTCCTTCTTAGGGTTGCCAATTCTAGGTTGGGAAATTCCAGGAGATTTGGAAGGTGGAACCCGAGAAGCAGGAAGTTTGGGGGGGGGGACCTCAGTGGGATAGAATGCCTTTGAGTCCACCCTCCAAAGCAACCATTTTCTCAAGGGGGAACTGTTCGCTGTAGTCTTCATAAACGTATGTAAAAAATCTGAAGTCTGGAATTTGGCTGGAGATCTCTGGGCCTTACCGGGAGGACGGCAACTCTCTTCCTTCCCACTATATGCTAGTTGTCCTGAGGTTAAAATAAGCTGTACATTTGGGGTAGACCCCAAATGGCATCTGTTCCTAAATTTTCCGGTATTACAAATTTGGGGGCTGTGTACATACAAAAGTAAGAATGCTTCTGTGACGACCCCTTATCTGGGGAGGTCTGGTTTCCCTTTAAAATGTTCTTTATGTTTTGTTTTACTGTGTATATCCGGCTGCCACCAGGAAATTTAAGGCTTTCCAAACCTTTATACTATAATATTTCTGTCACTGGGTAGGTAGGTCGGTTTTTAGGCTTTCATGAGGTTCTGTGTGTTTCCTGAGAAATTATTTCTTTCAGAACTGGTATCTTAAATAAAAGTAGATTTATTGATATAATTTGTAAATAATATGGTAGAACACTGTAACTAGGAATGGGTAAATACTAAACAATTGCTTTGGGTATTTCACACACTTTTCCCTTCACTGTCAGGGATCTTGGCATGTAACTTTGTAACTTTAACTCAAGGTCATGTAAGTTCACTGTTTCTCTCCAGGACATACAGCCTTTCCTAAACTTTGTCTTCAATTACTTTCATTTACATTTTACTATTCTCTCAGAACAACCTCAGCTGTTCTTAACTGCACACACACAGACTGCTTCTCTCACAGACTTCAGAACGACCTAACTTCTAAACACCACTGTCTTCATCAACTGTCACTCTTCAACTGTCAAAACCTCAAACTGTCACTCCTGATAGACATACATATTCATCCACACAGCATCACTTCCAAAACCCCTCCCCCTCTCTGTCACTCACCAATCACACCACACTTGCCTCTTCAAGCACTCTAGACTATCACATGCAACCAAACTTTTAAAGAGACACACACCCATAAACAAGGAATCGTTACAGATTCTCTATACAAAACTGGCATGTTTTGGGGCAGAAACCTGTACCTTGATTTCTAGTTCTCTGTGACAAGGCATTTCCTTTTCATTTTTGGACAGAGGCGCATTAGATCTTGCTTTCCTGCACCAGCAGTCTGAAGTGTTACTTCAGAGATTGGTTCCCCTGGATAAAATGGCAGGTTTGGAGGTCGGACTCTATGGAATTATACTCCACTGAGGCCCCTCCCCTCCCCAAACCCCTCCCTCCCAAAGCTCCACCCCCAATATTTAAAACTAGGCCACATAACAAGGATAAAATCTCTAGCAAAGGAAGATTATACAGCAAGGACAGGACATGGGCTACACTTGGACAATCACTGTCCTTTCTAGGAATGTAGGAATCATAAGAACTGCAGCACTGGCATTAAAAAAAAAGTCTAGTTCAGCTTTAAGGTTTTTGCAGGACTGATTTAACAGTATTTTATATTTCCAGAGCAATACTGGAACACGTTTAAGGTACATTTGTACTCTTGCGAAGGGCAAATCATACACTGGGAGCTCACAATGGCTGAACAATGGAGACCAAGATCTTCAAATCATGCTTTCTTTTCATGGCTGCTAAAAAGGCCACAATAGAATCGCACAAAAACCCTGCGGGTTCTCTCATTGTCACAGCGCTACTCGACAGTCACTTTGCTGTTCTCAAACAGGAAGAAAAGCTCAGACACAAGCACAACAGCCTTCCCTGTCCTTTTCCAGAAAGGCTCCCATGGTGGACTTTAAATGTCGCCCGCTGTCCCACCTGTATTATACTGGTGTTCCATACTGGCTAACACACCTCGCTCCTGTGGCCCACACCCTTTGCTAATGCATGCCTAGCACCCCAACAGGCCATGGCCACAATGCAAGGCTACAGTCATCTGTAGTGAACAACAGTCAACATGTTTTCAGTTGACCTGATATTCCCTCTACGGTCACTGCTTAACAGACCGTGAGCCCTTGCCATTAACAGCTAGGAAATCACTCAGAATAGGGGTGCAATGTTTAGAGGAACGGTATGGGCCTGCAGTTCAAGTCAGCTCAGAGACTCTGGTTGGAACAGAATGCCACAGGTCGGTAATTCTCAGGAGCTAGGTAGAACATGCAGGCAGATCACACCCATTCTACAGTCACTCCATGGGCTGCCTATGAGCTACTGGGTTCAGTTCAAAGAACTGGTTATCATATATTAGCCACAGTATAGATGGAACACTATGTCTGGGGCAGGGATGCTCTGTATCCTTGGTGCTTGGGGGGGCAGTTGGAGGGCTTCTGGAGTTCTGGCCCTAGTGGTGGACCTCCTGATGGCACCTAGCTTTTGGCCATTGTGTGACACAGAGTGTTGGACTGATGGGCCACTGGCCTGATCCAACATGGCTTCTATTATGCTCTTACACATTACGCTCTTCACAATCTTGGAGCCTCATATTTATAGGACTACCTCTTTTGTTATGCTCTGCCTCATCTGAGCAAGCATTTCTGCTGGTTCCACCCTGCAAATGGACATGATCAAGAACTTCCTGTATATGTGCCTCCCTGACCATACATGGTAGCACATCTAGTGCCATTTTGTCTAATCTGACACCTCTGTGGGGTCTCAGGCAGGGAAGTCTTTCCCAACACCTGACACGTAAGAACTAGCATAGTAGCACCAGACGAGGCTCAGGAAGTCCCAGTGCCTAGTCCCCGCTCAGTCATGCACTCACTGGGTGGTTTGGGGCCAAGCACTCTCACTCTCAGCCAAATCCACCTGATAAGGATACTGCAAGCATAAAGTGGTCGAGGGAAAAACAAGACAAGAGAAAACATTTAATAGATGCCTGTTTGAGGTCCTTTGCCTGGAGATGTCCCACATGCACCCTGCTGTTCAACCAATAAAAGTTTCTACATGGTGAAAATTGAGCATGTTGAGCGACATAGGGTTACCAGCCTCCAGGTGAGGCCTGGAATTCTTCTGGAATTACAACTGATCTCCAGACAACAGAAATCAGTTCTTCTGGAGGACATGGTAGTTTTGGGC